GACTGGCTGATCTGCACCCTGCCAACGTTTCTCGAGCAGCCGGAGCAGCAGGGTGTCTGGGGTCTCAGCGTCATCTTTTTATCCGCCTCCATAAATCTGCATTTGATTAAACTATTTCCGCTGGTGCTCGGCATCGGAGCAGCCAACTCAGCCACTGCGATAGCGAATGCGACAGCGGCGGCGGCAACAACTGAGGCAGCAGCAGCAGCATCGGCGGCAGCAGCAGCTCCGGCGACAGTCCAAAAATTGGGTCAACACGAAATTGCATTGTTCGTGACAGCTGCACAGGATTTCCATGCGAAATTGAGTGGCGAGCAGCGGCAGCGTTTCCGCGAGGCCTTCAGCAGCTTCGAGCGGAGTCAGGTCTACGGCCGGATGTTGCAGTGCCTCTGAAGCGAGTATAATCATGGGTTTGGCTATTTAGCTTGCGTTTAATTCTAAGAAAAATGCAACGCATTCGGCATGGGCTAAACTTTTGGGGCTCCAAAGACAAGCGCAAGCGTGAATAACTAATTGCCCCAAGCTGCAGATAAAGTTTAAGCGGATGTCCCTTTACTTAGCGCTCCTTAGCCTCCTCGTACTTCTTTCATTTCCTTTCCTTACCCTTCCTTTCCTTTTCCTTCCTTTCCTTTCCTTTCCTATCCTTTCCCCAACTTGCGAACGAAAAAGTTTTTTAATAGTTGCCGAATACAAAATTAATTTATGCTTTACATTATGTGTAACTAATATTTAAATTATTGCAAACGAATGTTCGCCGCACCGCACCGCCCTGCACTTTCTAATGCTTAGGCAAAAGTTTAACGAGGCCACAAGCGAGCGACCCGCAATTAATTCCTGCGGCTTTCGACACGGAAATTATGTTCTTGTCAGCTTTTGGGGAAAAGTTTATCATTTATTTACATTATGACGATGACGCTGCTTGCTGGGCAAGAAACAAGGAAAAACGTGGTCAGAGGACGCTAGTTTTCATTAGTATGCGCCTTAACCAATTGCTGGCTAATTCCTAATCAAAATTAATTAAAAATTCCATTATCCCCTCTGTGTACTTCAATTGTAATCGAACTAATAACCATATTGCCTAACGAAATAAAATCACAAATTAAAACGAGTTTGAAAGTGTGTCGTCATTTTTGGGTTGGGGCAATGCAAAATGGAATGTTTGATTTTATAAATGCATAAAAGCTGAGCCAAGCACTTTGCCAACTAACCGAGGAATGCGTTTTTTTGGATTACTGAACTATATGCAAATCGGTTCGAACTTTTGCGCTTTTACCTGCTGCGCTGGCACATGTAACGTGGCTCCTGAACGTTTTTTTCGTTTTACCGTCTTAACAACAAAGCGCATTAAAGTTGACAAAATGTTTCTTCCTCAAACTATCGTCGAAGTGCCGGACTGAAAATAAAAGTTTAACCAACCGGCTTTTACTTGAATAACAGATGCCCTGAAAAGTAGGCTATTCAGATATTGGTTAGCTGTTTAGTTTTTATTAGATTAAAGTATTTTGTTTATTTTTGTATATGCTAGAGCAAATACTAAATTTAAGAAACTAGATATATATAGTTTCGTTCAAAATAAGGGTAGTAGAATATTAATTTATGACAATGTTTACTTGTAAATTAAGAAATTGGGAATAAGAAGATTTTTAAGGAAATTATAGTAAATATAAAGCTTAAATAGTAATTTATTTTATTCTGCCAATTGAATTAGTAAAACGAAACATACCTGCGATTACAAATAGTTTTTTTTTTTTGCAACAGCTAATGAGTTCTTTGTGGATTTATCTTATCAATCAGGTACAATGATCAACGATGTTTTTTTATTTTCCAGGATAGATCTTAGGAGCATTATACCCTATAAAGGGTATTGAAAGCGGTTCAGTGCGTTACCGTTAGCCGCCTGCGTGAGCTTGTGCACCGAAATTGACAGATAAACTTTCGTTTGGAGTGTGGGTGTGAGTGTGCGTGCAACAAGGAAGGAAGATGGCTTTTGTGTGCATGCAAAGCTTGCCGGAAATTTGCCAGTTCAACGCGAAACGACAAAAAGCCGGTAAAAAAAAGGAAAATATACATAAAGGGAAGTTGCACTACACACCGAAATGAACTGCAAAGCTGTTCAAAGTTGTTTTTCTGTTTTGGCGCGACCGCATTATGCAATCGAGCTCCCCCTCCTTTTATATATATATTCCCATCCCCTTCTAGCACACTGATTCAGTGTGAAGACAATACGCGCCTATCGTCGCCATTATGGCACACGCCAAGTGGCAATTTGGCCAATGCCTTGGCCATAAACTGCAACATTTGGGCTATCAGCATTTGGTTACGCTTCATTTGGCCAGGAAACTTAGCCCAAACCATGCCCCCTTTTGGATTAGCAGCGTGTGACTGACCGAAAAAGCAGGTGGGCGCAGATTGCGTAGCCGACACGTTGCCATGACCTACGCTCAAAATTCGAGAGACTCGAATGAATGAAACAAAAAAAAGAGCAGACTTAACGTGGGCGGTGTTCTAATTCCAGTTTGTTCCTCCCATTTGTGCTCTCTGCCACTGTTAACTTGCAAACTCACCACTATTCGGAGTCGTTCTCTTCAAGCCTGCGCTCTCTTAAATCCTTAGAGCCGCTCTCTCACTCTCTCTCTCTACTTCTCTCTTTATCATTTTGAAGACTAGGTCAGTAGTGTAACGGTTCCAGTTCCATTACGTTCCACGCGTAACGGTAACTGTTTTGGTAGGAAGAGCCGCAATATCTTATTTCTTAATACTTCGATGGCTTTAAGCGGGAAAAGGACGGAGCATGCAGGACGACAACTGTTACACTCACAGTTATGATTATTGTTATTATGATAATGTCAGCAGCATAAGCACTCGTTGTTGTTGTTCTACTCGGCTTTGGCGTTATTGTTTGGCTATTTGCTCGGTGGATAAATGACTTATCCTTTGGGCCAACAGAAAGAACTTGGATTAATAAAAAGTAAAGAGGGTGGTAGTATTTACTACTATCGGTTCTTACGTTCATTAAAAATGGTATTCTCGAGAAGAGAGAAAAAATTCTTGTTTTGAGATAAAATTGACGAAAATAAATTGAGAAAAAACACTTTTACTTGTATAACTTTTTCCAGTCCCTTTTCTGTATTAGATTATATAAAATGGTCTTTTTACTTTATATTTTACTATTTGCACATTTTTTTTTTTTTTTTTTTTTTTGGTCAAAAAAATATGTTTTTTTAAATTTATGATTCACAGGTAAATCTTTTTTTTCTAAATTTAGTCGACAACGATTTAAAATATTGATCATAACTATTTGTATCTCCTCACAAATGTTTCATAGCGTAAGATAAGTTATTTCAGATACATAACAACAGTCGTGGGCTGAGCTTTATTTTCCGAGTGCAAGAAAGGAAGGGAAAACAATAGTATGCCCTTTTATGGCGCCAATACATAGTTGCCCGACTTTATTTCGCTGACTTCCTGGGCTCGAATCGATCCATTGATTTTCCCGCCTCATTTGCAAAGACACTTGGATGCCGGTCGCCATCTGGGCACTCTCCACCGAGCACTCCTCGTAGCTCATTTGAAATTTTGATTACATCGGTAACTCAGGGCAAGGCAAGGCAAGGCGGTGAAGGGGAGCCTGTCAGCGACTGATACGCATTAATTACGTTACCTGGTGTAAAAAGCAACGCCTCAACGCTAGACGGGGCCGCTTATTAAAATTGAATAAATTATGCAAAAGTGCCGGTGGCCTCCTGACAGCCCAGAAACCCGAGTCAATACTCCTACTCGTACTCGAACTCGAACTCGTACGCCCCTGCACACTATACACACACACACTATATATATACGCCTGGATCCGCAAGATGGACACAGCATAATTAATTCCGGTCAGTTGCCAGCGCAGAGCGAAATGCAATCAGCATCTTGAGCCTGCTGCCAAGTCAAGAGCTCGGTGACAGAACTTCCACGGGGCGTGCTACCCATGGCTTTTATTTTTGAGATGGAAACGCAGGCGGTAAGCGTTTTTTGTGGTTCGAATTATCGTATTTACTCAGCACTCAGAAGTAGGAATCTTGGTGTCTTGTTGAAATATTACACCTCAAAATGTTACTGTATTACTATTTCTATGACTGTTTTGTGCACTTGAGGACCTAAGTAATCATTCTAGGATTGATTTTTAAAGTGTAGTTTTTGAACAATTTTGGCATTTTTTATAAGTGGTACCCTCATTATTTTTTACACAAGTTAACGAAAAATTAGAAACTGGGAATGGAAAGCGTAAAAAATATTATCAGGAATTTAACGGGGCTTGACATGCAAACTTATGGTATTTATATTATAATCGAACATAAAGATCATGGCATTACTGGTTGGCGAAGCATTAATTTCACTTCATAAGTCGAAATTCAGTACATCAAGTGGTTGACTTGGGACTCCCCTTAGTTTCTGGGTGCCTTTTGTGGGACGAGGGGCCTTAGAATTAGTGAATGCCTGAGTGGCTGCGCAAATGAATGCCACTACGAGTGATTGCACAAATGCAACGGGCACATATATAGCCGATATCGATGGCAGCGCGAATATTCGACAAATATTTCAATTTCATGTTTCACGCACCACTAAATGCCAATTTAAATGCCGGCAGCCGAATTTGCATACCTATATCCAGATCCTACCTGCAATAGTTTGGGTAATTTCCTCATGAGCCGCAGGCTGACAACTGATTGTGTTGTTAACTCATTTCAGTACAAATCAAATACGCATAACACCGTGTTGTTGTGTTCGTTAACTCTTTAATGGTTTACACAAATAACAAACTGCGGTAACATGTTCAACAATATGGCTTTCAGCAAGGGAGCTTGTAACACATTACATTTCGATAAGCATTATCTTAATAACAATTGTTATGGTACCCATTAACATTGAAAAAATGTGGCTTAAAACCAGAGAGTTTTGCAGTGATTTATACTTTGATACTATAACCTTTGAAATCAGCGTACATTTATTAAAACACTTTCGAAGTGGCAAAGAAGCTTGCTGCACTAATATTATAAATAACTATTTAGACACTCACTTATTGCTAGACTATAATTGTAAAAAGAGATAATTTGTATTTACAAAGTAAAGTTCCTATATTTAAATCGAGCCATTTGAAGAGCATCACTTTGCAGTCCTTTGGTCATTTGGTCCTCTTGTATTTTGATTCCCTGTAAAGGACATATGCATCCATCCACGTCTGCCCGTCGGAGATTCACTTGTTAGGCCTCCTCCTTTAGGAAATTACACTTAGAGTCCTGTGGTGGAGGTCCTGGCACAGGATGTCTTGCGCGGCGGCGGCAAATCAGATGTGTAGTTCTGATATCGAGACGAGCAGTTAATGGCCTGCAGGAACAAAAGCAGAGGGACTGAGAAAACAGGGGAAGTGATGGAAAATTGGCAGAATTAAACGCTAAAAATACATAAAGTGCTGATGGCCCAGTGTATTCACAGTTTGGCCACAATATTTGATTAATGATGTGCCTTGATGCAGAGTCACTTCTGGGTAAAATGCGGCATGGGAAGTGGGGCGAAAGCTATTCCCTTGTCAAAGCCTCTGGCTGCGATTGCTGCGATTGCTGCCGTCGCTTTGCATTTGAATGATTAGATTTGATTCAATATTCAATTATTAAAGTGGTTTGAGGTGTTGAAATGCCGGCAGACAAGCAGCGAATAGTCGACCCAGCTGGCAACTGGGAACTGGGAAATTGGGACCACTGGGTTCTGGATCCCGGCTCGCTGGTCGATTGAGGAGTGAGAGCTTGCATATAAATGATTTATGAATTTGCGCTTTGATTGAACTGGCTGAAATTGTTGATTAGTGCCTCGTCACATCAGAGGCGGCAACAACAACAGAGCCACTGGCTCTGGGGAAATGAATTACGGCTATTCAACCGTCGGCAGCTACGGTCTTTGGCTTCCTAGGTGAGCTATGCATTCACATTGTCTATGCTTAAACTCATTATTCGATTATGGCATAATGGACAATGGGGGAGATTTTAAAGGCAGGCATTTACCCACAGATTTATACCACATTTGTTTAAGCAAAGTTATGCAATTCTATATTATTATGTGGTACAAAAAAAAAAAACAAATCTATATTAATGTGCATTAAGGTCTTGGCAAAAAACATGCATTCATCATTCAGCATAACACATTTTTCAAGCCATATTAACTTTTATTTAAATGGCATTAACCGAAAAAATTGTTAATGAGCAAAATTAGGAAAATTTTTAAAGCTTAAATATAAAATAAATTGGAAGTGAACTAAATTTTAGATGAGGTAACCTATGGAAAACTGTTTATATTTCAAATTAAGATGATAGTAAATATTGTAAATAATAATTTTAATTGAAGCAAAATAAGGTTCCAATGTAAATTTAATATGCCTAAAAAAGAGTCTGAAAGCTTAAAGGAAATTTCTCTTTTTTACAAATTATAGTAAATAGTTAAGTCATAGCCAAATTATTTTTATTTTAAAAAAATATACAAAATATTATAAATAAGAATATTGATTGAAAAAAATAAAATTGAGAATATACTCCGCCTTACAATTTTAATAGGTAGTTTTCTCTGAACTCACATCCTGATGTGTTGTTGTCCTCATGCCAAGCCTCTTGGATTGCAAACTCTTTAGGCATTTGTATTGGGTTAAGCCGTGAAAAAGGGAAAGAGTAATGGAGAAGTGGTCACATTCGACACATGAATATAAATGCTTGACTAATCGAAGGGCCAGTCAAATGGCCAATTAATCAGATTGACATATTCCCGACCACGTGGTATCCGGAAAATATAAACAGAAAAGGCATTCCAAACACGCCGCTGGCGTGGACAAGGAAACAATAGCGAAAAAATAATACAATACATACAACATCGGCACGGAAATTTAATTAACGTAATTAATCTAATTTAATGACTTGACAAACACATCAATTAGCGAAAGGCAAACCAAGACAGCAGCAGGAACACAATTTATATGCAAAGTGCCAAAAGCTTTGCGCAAAAACAAGGACGACTCACGCACCGCAGCGGCAAAACAAATTAAAATATTAAAATTAAGCCACAAAATGATTGAAAGGAAATGTTGAACGCGAAGTAGCACAAGCAAAAGCTCTCCGATCGATGAGTACAATGTCGCTTTCTTCTCCCGCTGGTTTTCCTGAGCCGTTTGTGTCTGTTTTTCCCTAAAGTAATTAAAAGTAAGTAAAGCGAAATCCCCCCCGCAGAGGGGGCGGCAGTGGGCGGTGGGCGTGGCACGTCCAGTGATTTGCCACCCGCAACGTTGTTTTTTTTTTTGTTGTCTGTGCTTATGCAAATGACCGCTGACCAAAGAAATTAATGCGTCCCGAAAGTGAGTTGAATTGGAATGAGCCTGTGTCAGCCGTCTGTTTTCACTTCGTGTCAATGAATTTATACAAGGGAATGCTATAAAAAGACCGAGCCGAAAAAGAAAACTAAAGCTTGTAATTTCCCATTGTCTCAATGCGTTGCTAATTTGGGCATATCTTTAAATAGCCAACTCTGACTGGGAATCATTTGGAATTTAAAGCCCAATCAAATTGTGCGATTTCATGGAACATTGTGGAATGCCATTTGTATTTGTACTTGCGTAATTCCTGTAATGCCCCGCAGAAATACTTCGATGCACTTCATTAAATGGACAATACAAAAGATTTTTACACACATCCAATAATGGAAAATATCTCTTTCATAACAAGGGCATTGCGAAGTGAAGGGAAGAGAAGGGGGGGGGCTCTTTGTTTAAATGCCCGGCAGCTGCGAATCGTCGGCTATATAAATAGAGAAATCGAGATGGACGATGATGATCCAGTTTGATGGGCCAGCCTAGGCTGAAATTGTTCTGTAAACTCTACCTATTTATATCGTAAATATAAATTTTTGATGATGATGCTGATGCCGATGCTGATGCCGATGCTGCAGCCCACACGGCGTATGCGCGTTTTTCACACTTAACTCATTAAAACGGTCGTCGAAATATAATGGGAAAACACGCGCAACTTTTTTTTCCCTTTTAGCCCCCTCCGATTGATTTTTGTTTCTTCTGTCTATTATGATCATTAATTATTCAATTGCATCTAAGATTTTTAATTTGATGTGGAAACATTTACCCGTTTAAAATCTAATTAGGAATGAGAATGGAAATGTTGCTGAGCGGATGCGAATGTTTATAGATCGTATACAATATGAAAAGGGTTTGTTTTTTTTTCTCAGTCTACAAATCAATATGATGCCCCACATAAAATGTATGACAAAAATGAGTTGCATCAAATGAAATGCAAGCGAAAACAATGCTGTGACAATATTTCATCCGACATCGCCGCCAGTCGAATTGTCGATATATTGACCCAGCACTCAGATGCCGGCCCTTCAAGGACCCTCCCACTCAACCCACTCACTCGATGGCACCCACTCACCTTGTAGAAGGCCTTCCGGAAATTCTCGGAGAGGAAGGCGTAGAGCAGCGGGTTGATGCAGGAACTGCTGTAGGCCAGTGTCTGTGCGGTGACCTGGATGACGAGTTTAGTGAGGCTGTTCATCTCGACGACACCCAGTGCCTTGAACAGGAGGATAAGCTGCCCAATTAAATGGAAAAAAACTTAATGTACGCTCAAGATGAATTTATAAATAAACCTAGTATTTAGAAAGCATAGAAACTAGTTTTTAAATGGATTAAAATATGAACAAGAAAAAAAACTATTTGACTACTTTAAAATTGGGTAAGCATAACTTGCTCCATTTAATTTGTATTTTTAACAGTGCTGTATTGCGTATATAAAAATGTTCTAGAATACTTTAGTGATGTCAAAGAATTTATTCATTTCGACGTTACTCGCAACTTAACTTTGAAATATCAACACAACAAATATTTGTGTCCGAAACGACATTTTAAGTTTTAAATTTAATTCGTTTAGGAAAATTCTATACATATATATATTAAAATTTTCTTGTAAGAACAATTTTAAGCCTTTTAGTCTCAGCCTCTGACATCACTTTAAAATCTGTTCAAATGTATGTACTTAATAAATAAACAACGTCTTTATAAATAAATCCAAGTGCCTTCTAGATTACAGATATATATTTTAAACATATAGTTAAATATGTGTCTATAACTTTAAGAGTTCTAAGTAAATATTCATTTGATTAAGAAAAAACCATACAAATATAAATAGTCTTGAGCTGTTGTGTTGTTTATTTGCGAGGAACATATTTTTAAAATTTATTTTCAAGGTGTTCAAAAGCATGCATTACAAAATTAGGTTTAGGTTAGGTTTCTATGGTTTCAAGAGTTACCTGAACGGGCAGCCAAAGTGAGGCGAAGGCGATGACCACGACGATGACCAGTCGGGTAACCCGCTTGCGACCCCGCTGCGACTCCTTGGACATCCGGACTCCGGTTCCCTGGCGCCACAGCCGCATGATCATGCGCATGTAGAGCCCGCTGATGATCATCAGGGGCAGCATGTAGGAGCTGATGAAGAAGGTCACGTGGTAGGTCCTCGAGTCCATAATATCGTTCGTTATGAACATGCACATGCCGTATGTGATGTTCTTCTTGGCATCGGACTCCACCTGCGGAAATCGATGATTGGAAGGGGGGGTGAGTGAATCGAATATTGCGCATACGTCATGTTGTCGGTGACAGTTGCATGGAAGGCAAGCAGCAAGGCAGCCAGACATCGTAAATAAAACTAAACTGTCATACGAATAGTTCGGACGTCGACAACTAACTCGCAATCTCACTTTTGTTTCTCTGTCGCTGACATTTGGCTGACAAATTGTTCTGCTGGAGTTTTTGGATTTGGAGCAGGGTGGTCGATAGGACGGGGGGGAATTTGGGGTTTTTCGGTTCACAGAATTGCTTTATTGGCTGAACGGACTAGACGAGACTGATGCGCTGACGCTTAGGAGGGTCATAAACTGCCTGGCCTATCGTAAAAAAAATATTTGCAGCCTTTTGTTTACAATTTTGTTTACAATCCCCGCCACCCGCTGAAAAATTGTATTTAAAAAATCTTGCCGTTAATGCCCCGAAAATGCTTACAAAAATGTTTGTTTATTAGCCGCCCTTGTTGTTGCTGCTGTTGTTGATATTGTTATTACACTGAACGCGAAATGTTGGCCTACAAATTGAGTTCAAATCTGAGCAGCGTCAAGTGGCCAAGGCCACTGCTGAAGTACCCAATCACGGCCAGACCCTCCGCTGATTTATGGGTTAATTTTGTTCCACACAAAAAGCAAAACCAAACCCAGAGACTTAATAGAATTGACAAGCCATTAAGGCTTTTCTCTCGTTCGAGAGAAAAACCAGCCAGCAGCTGTCAATCAATGCCATGACCTGGAGATCGCATATCTAGTTACGCAGTCAGACATATGTGCCTTTATGATTATTACTTATCGATTTCTAATAAAAAGATAATGGCGCAATCGCGCCCTCATTGCTTGCATATATAATACAATATACTCGTATGCGTGTGTGCTCTGTGCGCCTGGCAATGTAATATGGAAATAATTAATGGCAAACTGTTAATTAACATGTTGATCAAACATGACTTAATTATGCCTTTTTATCGCCTGTTTCTTTGTATTTGCACACGCAGGGATCCAGATAGCGAAAGCAAAGCACACATATGAGCATTCAATTTGGCGGCCTCTATTTTTCCAGCTTAATCCTTAGACAAAGCAAAGCAAACATATAAGCAAACAATAATGCGACCCACTGGAGTTCTCCTCCGCCCTCAGCGTAAACAAACTGAACGGGAAAAAATAACGAAGCGTGAAATGCCATTTAATAAAATATTAGGTTACAATAATAACAAAACACGAAGAGCAGACATCTCATAGATAAAATAGCTCATTGTTCGGGTGACGATGGCACGATTCGTTTAATTAACTGCGACTCTTTCGCTTTTGGCCAGAAAAAAACGGAGAAAACTCGACCGCACAAATAAAAAGTTGGTCGTTTGTGATGTGGGATTCGCTTTATTGGCACTGGGAAATCAATGGGGAAAAAGCCTCTCGGCTATTTAATGACGTCAACAGAAAAATAGCCCTATGCACTGAATGCTCGTGATTGTGAAATCCAACAGTCAGAAAGGTGGTACAACAAACAGCAAACAACAAACAACAACAGTTAGATTAATTCGGGTAATCGAATCGAAAGTCTTTATTATAAAAAACTAAGGAATTTCGTCAGTTTTAATTACTTTGATCAATTTATAAGCAGGAAGAAAATGTCGTAAAATTTTAAAATAAATTGTATAACAAGGACACAAAAAACATAGGAAATCCAAATATATTATACTCCATTTAAATATTATTTGCTTTGGTTTTCATCCTTTTTGATTTAGTTTTAAATGTAACCATATTAAACATTAATAGAATGCATTTTAATCAAATAGAAACTATTTTAATGTTTTCTATTATATAAACATTTATTAAAATCATGCAATTTAATATGCATTGTAATTAATATTATTTCTTAATATTTTATATTCCAATTGAATACAAAATTTGGAATTTAATCGCCAGATTTAGTACAATTAGAATAAAATTTTATAAGAATCCCTAGAACTCAAACGCACACTATCATTCCAGTATATTTTTTATATCGCCCGCTGATCCTATGATTTTGGCCGATTATTCCGCAATTAAATTGTTTCTCGCACTTTGCGCATCGATCATAAAAGCTGAAAGGCCATAAGGCCAAAAGGAGAGCTTCAAGGTCGCCACCCGCCAAGACATTTATCATACGCAGTGTGCGCCCGAAGTTCGCACAAAGCGCAAAGTTTCCATTCCATAATGACCACTTGTTACGACTTACGACTGGCCATGATTTACGTGCTTTCAGATCAACAGTTGAAACTGAAATTGTGCAAGGCACAGAGAGTCTGGCCAGTTGGAAAGTGTTTCTCGCTGGCTATCTGGCTCTATAATTAAAAATTTATGAATTCAAAATAGCAATTTAGTAACAAAAACAAATCGGGCGTCTAGCTGAATTTTCAATATAAACACGAAACAGAAAGCAAGATTAAAAGGGGAAAATCTTTAATAGGGGTATATAGTATAGCAGAGGCAAATGATTTGTATCAGGAGGGTTCACCTTCTGGATTACGATCTCCGCGAAGGCGGAATATGCCATTGACGTGCAGCGAGAGGAATCTCGAATCTAACGAGGTGACGATGATGGAAAGCAATAAATTTGCCTGCTCCGTGTTCTTCGCAGCAGATTTAGGCACAGCAGCAGGCCCACTTACCACCACGTCGTGGGTGAAGGCAACTGGCACGGAAACGACCAGCACCACGATCCACAGCGTTACGATGGCAATCAGGGTGATGTTCTCCGTGCGCATCATCCGCGACCGAATGGGATGAACGACGGCCAGGAAGCGATCGATGGACATCAGCACCAGGGTGTAGATGGAGGCGAAGGCCGTCACCACAATCAGATACTGCACACTGCGGCACCAGAATCTGCCGAATGGCCAGTAGTAGACCATGTAGTCGGTGGCCGTGAACGGAATGCACAGGATCACGAACATCAGATCAGCAGCAGCCAGGTTGACAATCATCAGGTTGGTTGTAGATCGCATGTTCTTATTGAAAACCACCACAAGGATGACCAGCAGGTTGCCGAAGAATCCCGTGATGGCAATTGCTCCAAAGAAGAAGCCCACTATCCAGGGCAGAGTGCCGCTGATGGCCAGCCACTCCTCGTCCGTGAAGAACGAGGTCAAGTTCTCATCGTTTCGGCTGGCATTCAGGCTTATGTTGGCCAGCATCTCAGCTGCTGACTCTGTAATGTTATCCATGTTTTTTGGTGACCTTATTTCACAACTATTTGGGTAGTTTCACTTGATTGTCTGGGGACATTTTCATTTTTATCATTCAGTTCATCGAACTTCGTATAACAAATTTCCAATTAGGATATTCCCGCAAAGCAGCCGCCACAAAAATTCAATTATCAACGCGCAATACTCCGAACAGAACCGAACCGGACCGGAATTGTTCACTCGTAACGGGTGGCAAAAGCAATTTCGATAAGGGTAATTGTTCCAAAGGTAAGACAACAATAAAAGGACGCACAAGGCGAGGAACAAGGACGAGAGTTCAAAGGTGAGGCAACCAAAACTGGGCCGAGTCACACCCTTGACGACGGGTGTATATCTGGGTATGGCCCCAAAAAATATCCTCGAGAACCACGTCGCTGCACCTACACCATAAATTCAATATGATGTCTTTCCTTTCTCGCTTCCTACGCTTTCACGCACTTTTTTTTTATTGACAAGCGAATGGCATAAAAGTTTGGGAGGGGGGGAGGTGGGTTCTAACCAAAAACAGACGTTTCTAACGTTTCAATATTTTTTATTTTCTTCTAGTCTTCTACCCGGTGCTTATTTGTGTTTCGATTTTTAGCTCGGTTTTTGTCCAATTTGAGAGTCCACACTGCACGCGTTCGTTTCCAGCGCCCAACTGATTGCTGGCTGTAGAGCTTGTTGCGGAATACTATACTCTTTGAGGCATCGACGGCAGCAGTGCCAGTGGCAGCGGCAAAACGCCGACAGCGACGCCAGCCATCCCAGCAATAACCCAGAGTAATGGCAACAATAGCAACAACCAGCAGTGCCGCCGCCGGTTGTTGTGCGTGTGAGTATGGTGTATGGAGGTTTGGGTGGCCGCCGGTGCCAGATACCCCGCCTCAATCCCCCTCACCTGGATGGAATGTTTGCTCTTGTTGCTCCAACTGCTGTTGGCCCAGCAATTGTCGAGGCAATCACTACTACTACTACTGGGTCCTGCCATTGTCCTGCCCAGCGGGATGTCGTCCTGGCTGATGTCGTCAGCTTTGGGCCGCACAGCTGGCGTCGCCACTCTTCCTTTGTCCCCTTCAAAAGCATTGCTTAATTTCTCTGATTAACTGCTGGCAGAGAGAAAATAACAAGTAATCCCCTTTCTCACAGTGCTCAAAAAAAATGTAACAGTATCAATTGGATAATTCAAAAAATTTGTTTTATATTACCATTACAAAATGGTAGCTTTTGGCTATCTTTCTTGTTAAAAAAAAAAACAAACAAAGTTGGAAATATAAATTGGTTAGCTCATGTTTTAACCACCCTATTTTTGTAAATACATATGTAACATTATTTTAATAAAATTTAAAAATTTACACAATTTAAATCCCCTAACTACAGCTAAATAACAATCAACTTGAACCACCGTATAATTTCCTAAACATATTTTTGCTCTGTGTGCTTTGAGATCAGATCCACGCTGGGTTAGCACCTTGTCACAACATTATGTAACCGCAGCTGGGAGATTTCGCTATGTAAGCCCAGTGTTCTGGGCCTCATTTACATGCTTTTTATTGCCGCTGCCAGCGCAATACTCACCTGTGAGCTGTCACCTGCAGACGTCGACGTCGACTGAGCAGTCAGCCACGCCTTCTTTACCATTAACCAACCACCGCCCATCACCCACCCATCAAAATCTGCGGCGGCCTGTCGGCATTTGCCGCTGATGTGGGTGTAATGATTCACTGCACACCTGACGAGGACGTCGCCAACCTGATGAGATTAAATGCGAATTAAGCGCTACGAACAACAACAGCAACAGCAGCAGAAAGCGGCTAAAAAAAATAAACCAAGAAATCGCCAACGACAATGGACCAAGGCAAACAGCAAAAGGCAAAAGGCACACTGACCAGGTAGAAAATTATGTTTATTTAATGGGCAGCAGTACTGCTGATTTAATGAAGTCTTTAATTCTTAATGCAGCTTCATTGCCAATTTAAATGACCAACAAAGGCGGTGGTAAGCTGTGAGAATTTTGGCTGAAAAGCGGGGCATCATCATGCCCATTTTCATTTGATTGCATACTTTGCGGGTGGCAAACAAAATTTACCGGAAGCGCCAAGGAAAATTAATTGAAAAGTGTTTGCCAGGTATATTTTAAAGTGTTGACGATTATTACCATAACTAAAGTTAAGCCAATATGTTATAACATATTAGTTTAAAAAATTTCATAGCTTTGCTTTGCAAACGGAAATGGCAAAAAAAATTCATGTAATTCAACAAATTTGCTTACTATCCTTGCAAACGGAAATAACAAACGCAACTACCAGAAAAAAGCTTAAATATGGTATTTTCACTTTGAAAAAGTTGTTGATCTCTAATGGTATTACTAAAAAATATTATTTTAAATTGTGGAGTGTTGTTTGATTTTTCATTTCTATATTTCAACAATTTATTTTATTTTTAAAATGCATTCAAAACTTGGCATAGCATAACGCAGCAACCAAAAATGGCAAACGCAAAACTACTACAAAAATATGATATTTTAACTTTGAAATAGTTTTATTTTTGGCATATCATAACGCAGCAACCAAAGACCTCAAGCGCAACTACCACAAAAAAGCTTGATATTTGAACTTTAAAATAGTTTTATTTTTGTTATTACTATTGCACATTTTAATAAGTTGAAAATTTTAATTGATGGCGTATACCATTTCATATTTTACCAATTTCATTCTGTAAATATGCTAAACTACCTAGCTAAAACTTAAAGTTAACATAATTTAAATCCTCCAACCACCCACATGAGTGTATCTGCAGCGTTTTAACAAAAATTGAAAGCATTATTCCAGGCGCACACTTAAATTAGCATCTAAATAAATGACTGCCAGACATGAGAGTTGGGTGGCATACTTCGCAACCTTCACAACCACACGTCCTTTAAAAATACCACTCCGTACCACTCGCCCCTGCTTTTTCACTTTTTCCCCAACACAAGCAACAATTTTTGTGATGTCAGAAAACTTTCGAAGTGATTGAAATGCTTTTTAATTTTTCATCAAAATCATTTCATTGCGTCAAAATTGTTTGGGTGCTGCTCCACCTGAGCGACATGATAGTCCCACTCACCCACTCGTGGCGGATCGAAAAGCCCCATCTTGCAGGGACACTGAGCTTAACCTTTTTCGGCTGCTGCGATGGATTGGTTCATTTTTGGCATAATCATGCGATGGGGATTACAAGTCTCTGCCAGGGACAGAGGGTCGTTAAACACACTACAATGGGTGGTAGAACTCTGAAAAAATATATTGAGCAGCTTGAACAAATATTGGGATATGGAACTCGAAGTATTTTATTTTACTTTAGAAAATATATATAAAAATAATATATATAATTCAATCCGTATTAAACTGCATAATTTAATATTATGATACTTGAGCTAATATGGAAAATATATGGTTTAAAATGGTTTTTATTTTTTGTTAATACAATTTCTGTATGAAATTGCTTAACTTTATATTGAGATAATTGAGCAAATGTGGGTAATATAAGGTTTAAATGGCTTATGTTTGTTTTAAATGCAGTTGATTGGTTTATATTCGTTTTAAATGATTTTTTTTTTAAATTAAAACGATTCAAATTCAAACAGCATTTTCAGATTTTAAATTTAATCCGCAAATATATTTCATATTTAAAATAACTAAAAGCAAAAAGTTAAAGCAAACCATATTTGAATTGAGTATGGAATACTTGAACTACTACTTTTTTACCCGTACCTCAACCTGTTAAAATGGGAATGGATTTGAACTTTGAGTAATTCTTCGCTAATCAATCATATAGTTTAAGTACTCTAGCTCATTTAAGAAAAGATATTATGTTAAGTACATCAATTTTCTTAGGCGGGCTAAAAGATCGGGCCACTGTTCGTGGGCTGCATTCAACCTGTGACGAAAATGATGGATTATCGCCTTTTGCGCAAACTTTCACATGTTTTTATTTACTTGTATATATCCCGGAGTGAAGTCTGTGACCCTTTTTTCGGTAGCTTCCAGGGGAATTAATAAATGTAAATCCGCATGGGAGTGCTCAACAAAGGAGGCAATGCCACACAAAAGACCACACTAATCGCTTTTTTCTCTGTTTTCGGGTTCTGGATTGAAAATGGTGGAGTTTGGGATTTTTTGCGGGGTCGAACACGGTCCGGCGACACAACTTTTACACAGCTTTCGCTATTTAATCATTCAAATTGACTTTTTCCCGCTCGATGGACGTTAATTTTGAAATCCCTTTTTAAACGCTGCTGCCGCAACTTCGCTCTACGCTCGCGGCTTATAAGTTTTTTAGCCTTCACCGATTTGGTTTTTTTTTTCGCGATTTTCGTATCCTTTTTGTTTTTCCGCCGTCGCACTTAGAATGCGCTGAGTTTGCATTTGGTTTTCATTTCACCATTTCTCCCCGCGCCCAGTCCCTTTTTTCGTTTTTTAATCAAGATCTTTTAAATGCGGCCACGCCATTGAATGATGGATTCCATTTAGTCTTTTTTTCCTTTCTTTTCGGCCTGGCCCCCACCAAACCCCAAACAAAGTAAACAGAAAGTTGGTTGGTCTCGTTCGGCAAAGATTTATGCAGATAATAAAACGAGTCTTCAAATGAATAATCAAGTTTTGCATGGATGGCTGATGGTAGCGCTCATAATTAAGGTTCGTCCTTGGGCTCAGTTTCCAGTTCGCTGGGGTCCACGATGATAAAGCAGCTTTTTAGAAAACCATCCAGCCTTTCAGAGGCAATACAAATTGGGGCAAATCCACCTCAAGAAGTGACCCCTTTAAGTGGTCCAGCTATTTTACCTGGACAGGACAAACTTTATAGAAAATTAAATTTTCTAGTGCTTCGCCGTTTTATTACCGAGACACGTTTTATTGTTGTTACCTGCATTCCAGGTGCAGGACAATAAGTTTGCGGAAACCAGAAGAGGCAAACCCAACCACTGCAACTTGTTAGACTTTCCCAAACGGCCACCGAAGGCTTTTTGTTTTTATTAAGTTCCGTGAAAAATGCGATTTTTACGCGCAGCTGGCGCAGCTGCTGCTATTGTGAGCAAAATATTGCACTGGCTGAGTTGTCAGTGCCCTGTGGACACACTTGTTGCCATTGTTGAGATACGAAATTAACTTTTACGCTTTATTACCGCAAGAATGGTGAAACAAAACAAATCTTAAGTTGCCACTGCACTTTGCAACTTGGTTGTGGATGGGGGGGGGCTTCCACATCCACATCCAGATTCAGATCCAGATCCAGACACACCATGAACTTCTGTTTTGTGTTGGCATTGTTGGTACTGCCACTGCCACTGCTACTGTTTCTGTTTTATTTGCTCTTGTTTCCGGAGTCGCCGCTTTTTGTCGACCGGCATCCGGAGGCCATCAAATTGCCGGAAGCGCGAGCCGGGCAGTCAGTGGCATTGTCATCAACTCAATTACATTTGCGACTCCTTGCAGCTCGCAGCTCGCAGCTTTTGTTCGCTGACTGATGACAGTGACTCCTAAACAAGGCGGCGTCGTTGGCTTTTATACTTGCCACGCCCCCCCTTATTGTGTCCCTTCCCGTGTGACGGATGCGACAGGAAGCGCTGCGAGTCTTGATAGTCATCCAAGTCCGCAACAAAGGCTGCAAAACAGCAAAAACCGGGAAACATTGGAGTTGGGCGCGGCGCACCTTTCCGTATATGTCTATGGCGCCATAATTTACTGCTTCCCCTGTAATCTACGGCCCGGCTGCTCCGGCAGCGGAAATGTTTCACAGAGATTAGCACAACATGTCAGCATTTTGATTTACCTGCATGCCCAGGGATTTACCTTTACCACACAGCCACAGCCAAAACCAAAGTTAAAGCCAAAACCAAAACCAGAACTCCAGAAACTAAGAGGCTCAGTTTCGATATCAATTCGGGTATCTGGTATCAGATATCAAGTATCAACTATGTGGTATCATTAGCCAAGTTTATGTGTGTGTCTCCATTTCCAATGCAAATTGAAACGACTGCGAGGGGGCATGTGGACGGCAAACGCTCAGCTCCAGTCGGTCCGTGAGCGGGTTATCCAGGCACAGGAGTGTTCCGGCATGGAGAAGATGGGTGCTGAGGCGTAACCATCGCTGGGTCGTCCTCGTGGTCTCATTCCTGCCACACGGCTCCAGGGTTATCCGCTTCGTGGATGCCACGCCCAGGCAGAGTTCCCGCTGGGTGCTCAGTTGTCCACTGCTGCGCAACATGCTCCACTGGGTCACATCGCCGAGGTGGCAGCTGGCCAGGATCAACTGGGCGTCCTTTTGTCTGGCATGCAGACAGCGATCCCCATTCCGCAGCGATCCCGTGGCAGCCAACTCCTCAAACTGCATCCTGTGGATCATTTCAGGGTTAGTTATTTTTTTTTTTTAATTAATCAGGACTCAGATAACTACACAAAAAGAAAAATGTAACCATAAATCCCAAAAAATATTTATAATCAAATGAGTTCCTTAATAATTTTTCTGAACATAATAGCATAACATTAAATCTTCAAACGTTTAGGGTATTATGATGATTTTATGACTATTGTGATGCATATTAATTTTGTAGAATAATAACTATCTGTTAATGGTTTTGTTTTAATGTTTAAGTCGTATTGACATAATATTTAAACAAAAATTTTACTAGTAGCTAGATAGTTTAGTAACCGAAATTTGGAATATTGATGTAACTTAAATAATTATTTGTACGCAGCCAACATTTTTCAGGAATAAAATATTCAACAACGTCCTTACATTTAATGCCAGAAACCTTTATTGACAACCAGGGTCAATCTTTTTTTGCAGTGCACTGACCTTAGTTCGGGACTGACATGCCTCAGATACCATTCGAACGGTTGGCACTGGAGCTGCCTGCTCAACTGCTGCATTTCGTCGGCGGTGTGATCCAATGGAATTCGTCTGGCCGCCGGCCTCAGTGCATAGAACATATTTTTATATTTGTCCAGCCAGGACTCGGCTATGATTTTGGAGTTGCTATAGTGGGTGGAAGAAAAGGGGGGAATGGAGAATCCAATCAGCATGCGGCTGGAATGTTTATATTAAACGGACGCTGTGCTGAAATAAATTAAAAAATACCAGAGGCGGTGCGTCCTTTTCACACCTAATCCCCGACCTATGGACTTTGTACTTTGGACTCACTGCAGATAGGTTTCCTGGGCGTCGGATTGCGGGGGAAAGTCGAAGGCATGCCGTCGGCGAAAGATGTGTCCGATTCGACTGCAGGGCACGATCTCAATTTGTCCGCCGCAAAGCCACAATTTAGTGGCCAGCTCGATGGACTCACCGCCCCAGATCTGCAGAGGGATAAGGAAGTGTCCGATTGACACTAGCAATTAGTGCTCACTTGACACCGGCTAATTGGGTTTGCTCACCTTCAGATAGGAGTTGAAGCCACCGAGCTTAAGGAACCATTCGCGTGACATCATCAGGATGCCGCCGGCAAAGGCAGGACTCTTGAACGGCATCTCGGGCAGCTCCTTTTCGGCCAGCTGTCGCCTCAGCCAGTGGAAGTGCAGGGACCAATCGAAGCCCCCTTTTAGCAGCTCATTGCCCTTCCGGTAAGCCAAAGTTAGGGGGTCAATGGGGTCCAGAACTGGACTTACAGCCAGTTGGGGATTCAGCGCGAGTCTTTCCAGCAGGGGCTCCAGCCAGCCCTCGTTCACCTCGCAGTGGCTGTCCAGAAAGAGCACATAGTGTCCGCTGGCCAGCGAAGCGCCCCTGTTGCGCGACCAAATCAGACCCATCCGCTCCCGGTTTGCGAGGAACTGCAGCCCCAGGCGATGCCTCGCCCCGAAAACGCCGCCCATCCAACGCCTAAGGTCATTAAGCAGGGTCACTGATAATTAAGCCATAAGTGGGTAGCATTAATGGCTGGAAACGGAGTGGGTTCGATGGCCTACCATCCTGACTGCCGTCGTCCACCAGGATTAGCTCGTGCAGATGGTCCTCGGGGGTGCGAGCCAGCAGGGACACAATCGTCCTCAGCAGCATGGAACGCGCCTCGTTGTGAAAACTGATCACCACACTCACATTGGCTTTCGAAGGCGGCGGAAGCTTACGGGGGCGGTAGCCACAGCTAAGGAGAAATTCAAAAAGAAATACTATAAGATTAAATCGAAAAAATACCTTAAACATTTGCATTTACCATTGCAGATCAAAATAACTACTTTTTAATTTTGAAACATTTTTAAAATTAAAAGAAATGCTAAGAAAATATCGATTAATGCAGAAATCTCCGCAAGGGATTAAATCAACTGAATTGTGCGTTTACCTAAGCAAGTGAAAAAAATATTATTCATATTTTCTTAAACAATTAAAATTTTTTTAAATAAAAGAAAATTGCCATATTTCTTGATTAATATTAATAAATGGAGCGTTCCTTATAAGATTTAAGCTTAGATCTCAGAAACGGATTATAGAAAAATAAATTATTAAAGAGTAATTCTATAGCATTCTCATTAGATAAGATTCAAAATTAAAAATAAATGTTTTGTTTTAAATTGAAAGAAAATGGCTTAATTTCTTAAATAAATATCAATAAATGCATTGTCATTTATAAGACTTTATAGGCAAAAATTGTATTTCTCAAAAAATATATAACTCTTGGAGTTGATAATATTATTATAATCCAAAGTAGTGATCAGAAGCTCTAAAAAACTTAACTCATTTTCTTACCTGTAATGCCTTGTTGAGGGCAATTTACGTATTACTCCCAAAGTGTTACTCAGGTTAAGATTGTATAAGTAAAACTTCGCAGACCTTTCTGATGTATAAGAAATAAACTCACGCCAGTCCAGATAGTGATCCCAACTGTCGTTATCATGTTTTATTTGCTAAGAAAACGACTCGATTGAGATGATTGGTATTAATAATTATATTCTTTCTATATCAGACTCACTTGGCGGAATGGCACATTATCGAAGCTTTCACTGCGAAGAAATATGAGAATGAATAGAAATTGCGAGAACAGAAAGGCTAAGATATAGAAAATGCAACGGCGCGGCCGACCATTATTTCTACCGGCGAACATGGCAAATTTAGGGAGCAACTGAAGCGATTCCGCATGGTGTTTCTTTCCAAGTGGTCACAAGTCGGGGCAGAAAGCGAAACTAAGTCGCTGAGATTGAGACTTCACGCCTTCAGCGTTTTGGCTTCTGTTCGGCCGCCTTTCATATTATCACTTTCAGCCAAAAAGGTGGGTTTCTATATTTAATTTCTGTCAGCTTTTTTACTTACCCCGCTTTGATTGTGTCGTCACATGCAGAATGAATGAGCGATATTGTGTCGAATGCCCCATTCGTGACTCGCCCGCCAACACCATATCATCGCTTTCTGTCACACTTGTCATTGATAAATGTTTGATAAGTTCAGCAAATATTTGTGAGCAGCTCGCAAGGTGTTAATTGCACCGAACGAAACTATCTATTACCCATGAGCTGTCAGTTTCTGCGGGGGCTTTATGGGGTTAAGAGAGGAGTGTGTTCACTACACAAGCATGCTATCGATGTTGTTTCATTCATGGCCCTTGGCGCAATTCGCTATCAAACATTCCCAGGTTTTATATCCATCCAATTGTGATTGAATGTTATTGATATACCAGCAACTATTTTGTAAAGAGCTCAACAAAACCAAAAATCGTTTACAAGTAATTAATAAATCGACTTTTGCCACGGGAAGAGCAGAGCAGCTCATTTGTTTACATTATTTTTGCATTATAATTGCATTATTTATCTTGTCTATGCAGGCGTGGAAATATATTGCAATTCATATTTTGCCTGAGCAATTAATTGAGTGTAATGATTTGCACAATTTTCCACCCACTCATTATAAACTGATTTGTTTTATTTTCCCAAACCCCCTCAAAACAGCAAACATAATTTGGTTGGGTGGAAAACATAATACTGTGATGAGATGGACTTGCAAATATAGACTATATTTCCTATGGCAAATAAATCGACGCTGGCGAATTAAATTGGCTAGCAAATGGCCAGAGCTCTCATCGAGTCGAGATTCAGTGGCTCACTCGCATATTGACTTTGCCTTTTTATGGCCTTCTGTTGCTGCCATAAATATTTCAAAGACCATGCACATTCACGCTCACACTCACATCTGGAATACTGGCAGAAAGAAAAGGATAAAGCAACTGCTATACACAGACACCATTGTCCATATCGGTTAGAGTCCGAGTTTGCTGCCTCTGCCCTTCTCTCGGATGATGTGATTTTATTTAAAATTGTTAGGCAAAGCGGAAGTAACTCATTCAGTTAGCAACAAAATCAGGCGCCATTCCCGGGCCAAATTGGAGTGTGACTTCCGCATTGCATTAGGGTTGTACTTAGTTGTTAGGATGCTCTTGGTCCTTGGTCCTTGGTCCTTGGAGCTGTGGTCCTGCTGCCCAGTTGCTGATTGACTTACGTGCCTCTCGTTTTCCTCTTCGCTCTCAGTTTGCCGTGCTTCTTTTTTTTTTTTTTGGTGGCTCCTCGCAGTTTTTACGTGCAGCGGAAATGCATTTTTCCAGTCACGTCGCCAACGACCAGACAAGTGTGCAGACAGAACTCCAATTTCAGCTGGTGCCAGGTAAGACATACGCCCCCACTGAGTGGCAGCGACTGGCCAAGGATTCTATTGTTTTTCGGTTGCCATTGCCGTTGCCACTGCCGCTGCCGTTGGCAATGGCGTGGGAATTTATTAAGCCGGGCGTGATCTATGCGTTCCAGCTCGAACGAATTAAAGTGCTTTGTAATGAATGCATAGGGCAGGACACCTAATTGTATCCCGGGCCGCGTGTGCAGCTTAGCAATTGAGTGGCCGGGGCAATTCAAGGGCGGCCAGGATATACGATATACGACATACGATATTCAATATGTTTTCAATTTGCCGCTTTTCTCTCTCACATCTTTGCTTTGGCGTTCGCCTATCAAGGGGCAATCGCAAAATGCCGTAAAACAAATAAAAATAAAACGAAATTATGCCAATAAATGAATTATAAGGCGCACGCACAACGCGGCGTATACGCAACGCTAGTCAAAGGAATGGGCGACAATGCCTAAGTGGCATGTAAATGTGTGTGTGTGATAGCGTCGCGTTCTCGTCTATGTGGCATGTCAATGTGTGTGTGTCGGCCATGATTATTATACGGCCACTCACACACAAACACAGATGGGTGTTTGGTGCTGTTGTGTGTGCGTTATGATAATGCTAACAGCCCGGCACAAGGCTTCTAAAATTTTATTAGCAAGCGTCTCATGGAACTTTGAAAATAATAACAAAAAAACCAGTAAGGACTGCCACTGTCCCTCTCTCTCCTTCTCTCACTCACTCCCTCTCTCTTTTGCTTCCTCTCTCTTTCTCTCGCTTTCGCCGTGTCCTGTTTGCCATAAAGAATATTGAGGAAATTGCTTTCTTTGCACTCGAAATGCTCAGCAGACCCAGCCGCTTAGCAGGGTGCACTCATTTCGAAATTGTTGCGTATTATCGTTAAATTTTACGCACACCCACAGACACACACACACACACATATGCACAGTCGACGGCCAAGGACGTGCGCACACATACAAATGCGTTTTAACGCAGAGAGAGAAAAATCCTAGGGAATTTGTTTATGATGAATGGCTATTAACGATTTAATAGATTTTAATAATTAATTTTAATTAAAAGAAAGCCATTTATACAAATTTCTGGGTATATAATTAACCTTTTTGTTATTTTATTTTATAACTAAAATTCATAGTCAAAAGGAAAGCAAGTAATTTTATTGCTGCCTACTCCCAGCGATCTGTGTCTAACTTATTTTCTTTTAAGTGCATGGTAATATTTTTTCGCTACGCATAGTTCGAGTTCTCCCTCGAGCAGACGACCGCGTTTTTCTTGTCAAACATTTACATATCCAGCTGCAGCCACATATTCGGGAGTATGTCTGAGTGCGTGTGTCAGTTTGAAAATGTTTGCAAAAAACAAAACAAAAGATTGCGAGGCGCAAATTTTATTTGTTTATTTGAGCCTCATTCTAGTAACTGCGGTCGCGCCCTTGAATTATTTAGTTTAATTTCACAAAGTGCTTTTAGCATAAAGTGATATGTGGCTAATTTGCAAAGACCTCGTTCCTAGGGGGTGAATGCAGAAGATCAAAAAGAAAATCAAAAAAGCAAACAGAACACATGGGTGGAAATATAATTTCAATGATTTTCCATTTCGATTTGTGGAGGAGTTCATGGAGGAAAAACCATTTTAATGATGTTTACACAGTTTGAATGCGCCTGTCAACATCTCCAATGTAGCTCCATATTCGCAGAACCCCCAGACCCCCAATCCCTCAGTCACATTATGTCCTCTATGGCGATTGACTAGAACTTTTCACTATGCCCGACGGAGTACTTTACTTGATGACATTATCGCTGCAATACAAAACGTTTTTTTGCCACTGCCACTTCATCTCAGTGTTTGTTTGTACTTCTGTAGTACAGTTTGCTCTCATTCATTCGACTGAGATTTTTTTTTTTTTTTTTTGTCAATGACACTGAGCCGAAGGACTTTGCCGGAAAATATTGCTAAGCGTCTGCGCGTTTAATGGCTCTTGTTGGGGAACTTTGATTTCGATGGCGGCAGAGGCAGCAATTTTTCATTAATTTGATTGAACCTCAGCCAACCGAAAGGAAATGAGGCAGAACAATTTAATGTCATATTTGAAACACATAAAAAATTGTTTTTATTTGATCTTCGCCAGTCTAAACTTGGCTTGGGCACCGTTTCATTTAAAAGAAATGAGCTCAATAAATAAGGCGATAATGATATTATCATTACTAAAATTGTAATGTAATAGGAAAGAAATAACCTTTGGTAAGTGTATTATTGACATGAACGCTGTAATTTTGTTATTTTGTAACATTATGTCACTAGTGCCCTAATTATAAGTTAATCTTGTAGCACTAGCATTCTTAAAGTACAAATAAATTCAAATTAAATGACTTGCAAATAGTCTTTTATTTAAATAAATATTTTTATTCGTTGAAAAAAAAACTGTTTGTTTTAAGCACAGTCATTTAATGCTGAGAATAAACAGCTTGATCAAATCAATCAACGTTAAGCAGGCGAACAAAGATATCCGTTTTTCCGTGAATTTGACAATTATGTCCAAGGATATTAACGCCGCAGAACGTGTTGCGCCACACGAAAGGTATACCAAAATTTTTCAAACATCGCTCGGATAAATCACTGTTTTTCAGGCATACGGTGTCATTGCCGATGACCACTCCGTCGGGATCGTGGATAAGACGCCTGCAGTCCGAGTTTGAGGTTTGGGGAGTGATCCTCTTACGCAGTATCGTCCCTTTTTTATTCAAACTCCAATACTCCACATCCTCATGTGGTGGAGGTCGATCCCGACAGATGGGTGGCTTTTGGGAGAACCTTTCGTTCAGTTCGGTTCCCAAATGCAGCAGAATCAGCAGATCACTGGCATCTTTGGCTGTGTAATGCTTGGACACAGTGCTGTGCGTTATAGTGTTTGTAGTGTTGTCGAAAAGTACTATTTTAACTCTGGGTTCTTGATTATGAGCCGGCTTGCAAACACCGGCTGTAAGCACTTGATGCCGATTCACAATGAGGCCGCTGCAGATGACCGTGTCATGGAGCATCAGACGCACCAGGTAATCCTCTAGAGGCAGTCTAGTGCGCATTCTACCCATCAGAAGTTTGACGTGGCTTAAAAAACACAGCAAAACTAGGTAAGATATGCGCCTTCTCAACATGGCCACCTTTGAAACTAAATTCAGGGGACTGAAATATATTCATTTGCATGCCTCCCATTTGATTCGCTTTTTATGAAATGGAACCAATTTGGGCATTCATAATCGGTTTATTTCGCAATAATTATTTACGGCTCAGCAGTTTTGTAAGTTCGGTGGCGAATATTAAAGTCATTAGAACAAATACTCCTGTTTTTAAATAAAACTTTTTTATGTTTGGAAATATTTTATTATGATAAACTTTTTATATTTTACTATTGATAATGCATTTTTGGAATATACGATCCACTTTTTGGGGTCCTTCATTTGTTTAGCAGTGTTAAGAGATCATTAAATTTTTTTTTTAGAAAATTACAATTTGTTAAAATAATCCATTTTTAAGATATGCATGGCCGGTCTAGTACAATACGTCTATCACCGCAATAACTTTATTAAATATTTAATATTTTAATTGAAATAAGTAGTCACCAGATCCTGAAGGCATCGATCAAGTCAGCCATGACTTCTTGCGTAGTGACTGGGCTTATAGCCAAAGTGTGGACGCCATTCCCCCAATATATACCTCAACCGGTGATGTTTCATTGAACCAGTAGCTATCATATCACTCTGAGAACTATGGGTTAAGCACAGAAAAGTCAATAGAAATAGTATTCCTGTTCTCAACATGACCACGTTTGAAACTGATTTTTCAAGACTAAAATACTCCCTGTACTTTACTTGCATTTTACTAAAGAAATTGGAACCAATTTGTAAATTGTTACTGCGTTTTCTCGTAATCAATTATTTATGCATTTATTAACTACAGGTTTAAGTGTATTCTTAAGCTTGAAATTCATTATTCAAGAGGAGCCAGCCAATTTATTATTATTTATTTTGCAGCGAAACAGGGTGTTTATAATCCACTAAAGTATTGTATCTTCTATGCGGGAGTTTTTAATGATTTCCATGCCTCGTATGGAGAAATCCAGGGCATCGTAGATTCTAATGTACAGATCGACACCCGTGAAAGTGGGGCAGTTGTGGCCGGCCACGTTGATTCCACAGATCATTTCGGCGTGGATCAGGGGATTCCCGATGGCCAGCTGGCAATGGGACGTATACTTCATGTTCTTGGCGCAGATCATGGTGCTGATGGTCACATGGGCGTTGGGATCCTTCATGCGGTGCCGGCACTCCTGGATCGGCAGGACATAGGATATTTGCGAGTGAATGCTGTGGCGACTTCTTATCCAAAGTGGCAGCTCAACGGATTCGTAATTTTCCAGCTCGGCGCTGCAAAGCTTCACAGTGTCACCAAATAGTTTGGAATTTTTCGGGGGACTGGTAAGTTCGATGGTGGTCAGCAAGGGATCCGCACCCTTTAGATAGGTGCTGTTGATTGGGATTCGGTGCCCATCAAGCACTGAATTGTCGAACATCTTCATGGTCACCACATCGTTGGCCGCAGATTCAAAGCAGGTGTCTGCCGTGACCACCAGCTTCTCAGAAATCACCGTTCCCATGCAGGCATACTTGTTTTTTTGATAGATGCGAACCATCAACTCATGCAGCGGCACTTTCCTCAGAGATTTGGTTAGCATTACCACGGGTTCCTTGGAGGTGCCATAGCGTGCCTTACGTTCATCCTGCTCTTCCTGGACTGCTCTTCCTCTTCCCATCTGCTCTTCCTGGACTTCCGATGTCCGACGTCGTCTGTAGTCCATCTGGGTCTTTGGACTGTGCTGCGCTCTATAGTTGGCCAGCATATAGCGATGGTAATGCGTCTGGGACGATTCCAACTCATTTATCAGGGCAAAAAGTAAAAGTTGAAAAATCCAGAGAGCACGCAGCATTGTGACTCAAGAAATTTTCTGGTACTGACCCCATAACAGCAGTCATCGAGCTAATTACTCTTTAAATCAATTTAAAACGCTTAATCTGTTTTTAAATGCCACAAACGAATGACAATGAATATATATGTATAACAAACCACGATATTTTTTTTATTTGGTTCGGCTTAAGCTGGGCCTAAAGATTTCATGACCCATTTTGAAGTCCCTTGGATTGCATCCGGAGTTTGGATCTGCGCATCGCCCTTTTTACGGCCCGTACATATTTAGGATTGGCCAACTCCGAATTGATGTTGACCAGAACACCGAGTAACAGGAGTTGAAAAATCCAGAATGAGGGCAGCATCATCACTCAATGAAGTTATTGTTACTGGCCCGATAATAGTTTTCGATGAACTAATCGCTCAGTAAAATTAATTCGATACGCCTCAGCCGGATTTTTGATGACCAAATGAAGCGGTTTTCATCTTCATTATTAAGTTTAAGTTGTACATTTTAAAAACATACAAACCTTATCAACCCCCAAAATTGGGTATTGGTATTTTCTTAAAAACCTAACAATTTTTTGGCGAACCATTTAAGAAATAAGCCTTTATTCTTCAATACCAAAAGCTAGGGCACATCATTTCAGTATTTTTATTAGGGTTTATTCCTTACGAAGCTTGAATTTTGATCCATCTTTTCGTTGGGCCTTACTCACTAATAATTATCATCATACTCAACATCAAATATTAGCTCCCCGCCATTTCGCGGATCGTCGAAGGGAATTTGGGGCACTTTGTTGCCCACGTAAATGTTGGGCCTCTTGTTGGCCAGCGACTCGAGCAGCGGTGAGAGGTTGCCCATTATCGATTCATTGAACGGACCGGTGCCCGTGAAGGCCCTCAGGGCATCCGTGGCCGTCTGGATGAATGGTATGACGCCCCTAATGGGTAGATATATGTCCATGTTGACGGAGTCATTGTCCTCGTCGCAGTGCTCTCCGTATATGTTAATCCCCGCCAGCTTGTTATCCACAATTAAGGGATCGCCGGGTCGGGTAAAACAGGTGGTCTTCAGCGAGTGCCGCTTGTTGCGCACACAAAAGAATCCCGTCTCGAAGGTGGACACGTGGAAGAACTCCTTCAGGCCGTAGTACACCCGGCAGCGATCGTAGTTGAGAACTCGCGTAATGTAGTGGCTGATGTGGTAGTCCGGTGAGTCAACGAAAACCATCATGACCTGATCCCCCTCCCTGGGAATCTTCCTGTTAAGCGGTATGTAGCGGTAAGTATTCCGATCGAGTTTTTGGGCCAGGGCCAGCAGGGCCACATAGTTGACGATCCCTTCGCGTCGGTTCACGGGCATAAAGAAGGCCAGTACCTGGTGCGGTGTTGGATTTGGGGGGGCGTCCACGCCAGTCAAAATGGTCATACGCTTGGCTGCGAACTCGTACGTGGCATCGCTGCCCGGCGTTAGGAAGCAGTGCGTCGACGTGATGACCATCCTGCGCGAGATCAGGGCCCCCGAGCAGATCACCGAACCCTCGTTCAGCACACTCACATAGTAGCTTTGGTCCGTGTCGACATTGAAGGGCTGTCGGTTGACTGTGGGTTTGGGTACGGGTATGCTCCGGGACTCGAGCGCCTCTCGATCGTAGTTCACGTGTTTTCTGGCCGGGTGGTGACGGTTGTAGTAAGTGGGTCGATGGTAGTTCTCCTCGTACTTTTTCATCCACATGGAGGCAGTGTATTGAAGTCCTATAACGAGCCAAATGCATGTGATTAAGTGTCGCATGATGATACAAAACTGGCACTAAGCTGAACTACTCATCTGGTTTCTCCGTGGCAAAAGGGATTTTGATAGCTAAGCTAATTAGTTTCACTGCACGCGAGGAAACAGAAATGCATCTAAAAAAAAAAACATAATTTCTTAGAAAAAAATGCTTTACTCGAAGAAAAAAATTTAAGAAATACTTTCAGTTTCTAATGCTTACTTTATTGCTTTAAAAAGCTGTTTCTGAAATTTCATTATTATTATTCACCAAAATATTAAATAAATCACTGAATTAGTGATAGGCAGCAAAGGGCTAAATACTATATGTAAACCCATATCATGTTATATATTTTTGGGTAGTTACAATTTTTTAGTTGGATGCAATAATAGTAAAAAAAATAAATCTTATTTTTAATTTCTGTTGGCTTCCTTTTTATCACACTTTAATAATTAAAACCAACCTTAGGAAAAAAGTTTTTGCTTTGACAGAAATAGTCATTAAAACCTTAGATAAATGCCAATCGACTCATTTCGACATTTCGACAGCAATTGCCTAAAGATTTACAAAGATTGCCAAAAAGCTAGTCTTTAAGTACTAACAAATTTTTTAATATATTTGTTGGCTAATTACACTTTTTCCTTAACAGTTGCATGCAAACAATTTAAATAATTAATAAATATAAATTTCTTGATATATTTATTGGCTAATTAATTTTTTTTTACAGTTGCATGCAAAATAAATTTTAATAATAAATAACTTTAAAGCGGAAACAAAAAATTTTTTAATGTACTGTTGATTTACAGCTTTTTCAACTCTTCTAACAAAATTTGGTTTTGTTTTCTGTTATTTAGTGTTTTCCCCAGTGCGTCTGCAGCAATATTAATTAAAAATTTTTTGATGAAAGCCAATCGACGGACTCATCTCTAATTCTCGGAATGTCCTTTATTTGCCGTGTCTTTCATTGTTTTGGCATTTGCATTTTTTGCAGACTAAGAAAGTGTGTGAAAGAAGGGAAGTCATCGCATTGTGATGTATGCTGTAGTGCTGGATTGCTGGATGGCCAGAATGTGGCTGCACATTGAATTATAAACCAGGCATCAATGGCCGTCATTTAACTCTTGCCTTTTGCGAGCCAGACAGCTGAGTGGAATTGGAGGTGGGAGTGGACCTCGGCTGACAACGCCAGACGACATTGTGCCGGACATGAAAGGCGCAATGCGAAAGGCTTGAAAGGTACCAGTCTACTATACAAGCTAGATGGCTGCATAAAAAGCGCCGCACATCGAAGGACATAGATAATTAATTTGCTTTGATTACAGTTGTCTGGTGGCGCAACGAAGGAGATCGTTTGGTCGGAGAAAAAACTGATTCCGAATCCTTCTCTGAAGTGGACTCTGACTGGCAGACGGAAATTGAAGTGTTTGTAATGTATGCACCGCCTGTGGCAAAGAAAACGGCTGGGGATGAGCCGGAGCCAGAGTCACGGCCAGTGCCACGACCAGTGCCACAGCCAGAGCCAGAGCCAAAGGCATCCTTCTCTGCCGACGACAGCAAAAAGTGACAGCCATGTCGACAGGCTCGACGACGACGAGTGCGTCTAATTGATGGGCGGACAAAGGCTTTTCCATGCAAATATGGCGCTGGAACAGCTGCCGGGTCGGGTTTGCTCATCAATTATTTAAAATATGTTACACTTGGCACATAACTTCTCCGGCAAACATGTGTAAGCCGAGCCAACCGGCCATAATAGCTGGTCATTATGTTTATGGGCCGACTCAAGGGGACAGGACGCACTACGCACTACGCACGACGCACGACGCACACCTGACTGGGGAACAGCAACAAAAAAAAAGGATATTCAACGGCCTTGTCGAAATTTATGCGAACGTGCCCGGCTGAAAAACATGGCCCAAAGTCAAGCAACCTCGGGTCATTTATTATTAGCTGTAAAATGCGTGCTGGATCCGGTTTACTCCCGGATTTCAGTGCTTCTACGGGCTGTCGGCTATCTAACATTAATTGGATGCGCGCCAATCTGAAACAAAAGACGAGTCGCGTTTTGTTAATGGAAGGTGTGAAACATAAGAAATCCCTGAAGACACTTTTGGCATTAAGGATGTGATAATACATTTAAATTCTTTCATATTCATAACAAAACTTTCCTTAAATTTAGTCACTATTATATTCTAAATCATAACTTATTCAAGTGTAATGTTTCTTAGATTGCATTGCAAATTTTGCTGATATAGTAAAAGCTATACAAATAAATAACCCCTGTTGAATAAACCGTTTGACATTTTTGGCATAAAGAATATAACTAGTAAATTTGTATTTATTCATAATCATTAAAAACATATATAACACAGGAATATTTTACAGTAAACTATAATAAAGAAAACATTTGATTTTATTAGCTTACATTTTTGTATTGCTTACATTTTATTTTGAATTCACATTCTTTTGGATTATTAAATTTTGTCCAATTAAGATTAACAATATTATTGCATAAATGCATCGCTTGAACAAAAGCCCATATATTTACCTAGTTTAAGGGTAAATTTACGCAAGGGCGCCGCTTAAAATTTTATACGAACGCCGTTGACGGCAAATTAAATGTCACTCACACGCCATGTAAGCCGAGCAAGGATTTTGCAGCTCATTATGCAGCATGACGCAATGAAAAACACAGAAGGGGGTGCTGCTGGCTTAGCTTATTTGTATTTACAAGTGGCCCACGAACGACTAATGGCAAATTGAATTTTGAACAGAACAGAGTAAAACGCTTTAAAGGCAATCAAAGCAAAGGCTGTTGCCGACTCGATGGTTTGGATCTCCAGATGGATCTCTGGCTGGGATGTGGCTGCAGGGTCAGCTGTGCGAGTACATTTATCTTGTGCCATTTTGCAGATGGACACGGCAAAAGGGTGGATGTGGATGTGCATGTGGGTTTGGATGCAATGGACACGAAATGCCGAAGGCCACGAAAAAAGTGGAGCATCAAAAGGAGCTGGGAAAAGGAGCTAGCTGAAGCAGCGATCTCGGCGATGGCGGCTTCGTCTTTGATTGCACTGGCTCTCGCCTGTCTTCTACTCAAGCACAGTTCGTTGCACATTTGAACATACCCTTAGAAAATAAATGCAAATTTAGCCATGGCAAACACCATAGACACACAAACACACACTCTGGATCTGAAGCACATGGGCCATAGACAAGAGGACTGCTTCTTTTTTGCTCCTTTTGTTGCTCCTTTTGCCGCTGCACATTTCCCGAACGCCAAAGCGCCGCTTCTGCTATATTTTCCGATTCCGATTCCGCTCTTTTCCCTCGCTCTTTCAACATATTTGTATAAATTTTCGATTTTCTGCTTCACTAGTCTGCCGGAGTTCTATAGCTCCTCTTCACTTTGTTTATGTCTCAAGAATTCAATATTTTTTCAAACTATTTCTGCTGTTTTTCTCGCACTTGCTTTGTTGTTGGACTCTGTTCTCCGTTCTGTTCTGGTTCAATATATAAGCATTACCAACTGGCAAAGGATTAAGCCCTGGGGCATCTTTAAGCTGTGTATATCTGTTCGAATTTACTTTTCACTCTCTCATTTTATATATGCTCATTAAATTTTATTGTTCCTACATAGTTCTATAAGTCCTTCACAGCACGCAGAACTCGTTTTGTTTTGGCATGTACGTGCTTAAACGCTGCCTGCTGCCGTTTGCTACTTAATGGCTAATTAGTGGTATAATTTACACCTTAATGACTCTACAACAATGCCGGAGAAGGAGCAGGAGCAGAAGCAGGAGCAGGAGCTGCTCCAGCCAAGAAGCCACAGCCCTGAGCCCAGGGAGCTGCTACTAAGCAGAGCTATCTAGTTTAATCCCAGCACCTCAGCCAGGCAGCCAGCCATCCCCCTCCAGACCAATTTTATCGCTCGGCTCATATGTATGTGCTTTGCTTTATGTGCAAATCAGCGTCCATTAATAAAGACAGCTAGCGAAACGTTACGCATACGTCGCGTTGCATTAATCACAGCCAACGATACGTAGACCTAGACCGCAGCGTGTTAATTTCATCGCAAATGCCTTTTCCAGTATGAAAATTTATGTATGCCATTTTAGACAGTTTGATTTATGACCTCAGCACGGAAGTGAATTGGGTTTGGGCTTTAATCGTAAAGCGGAAGTTCCTGAAAATAATATGCCTAGTAAATAAATTTATTAGTTCATTGCTGGGAGAACATCTAAAGTATATTTGCAAAGTTTTGTGCCATTTTAACATTGAATATTTCGGTTACCGATAAGCAAAATTACTTTTCAATATGTCGCGCCACCAGATTGATTGACTTGCATGCGAGGCGAGGTGAAAAAAGTTGTCACGCACTCGGGAATTATTCAAAATGACACAGCACACACAAAGCCAACCCGCCAAAGCTTCGAACTCCGCAGGTGGCAATGCAATTTGCAAATTGCCATAAAGCTGCAATTGTGTCAAATATTTTAATGCAATAAGGGTCGCAACACGATAGCTGCATGTATAGCGCATTCACCGCCCGACTCGTTCAGAGACCGCACTAATGGCGGCGACACGCTGCGTATACGCAATGCGTCAGCCATGACATCAGCAATCGCTGGGTTAGATAGATGCGCACTAAAGTCGTCTTGCTATCGAGTAGCTTATCGCCCTGGCAATTTCGACCAATAGATCTATTACGAACAGACATAAATCCGTTTAGAACCACAAAATCTAAGCGGCATCCCCTAATAAAAGCTAAGCCAACCAGTCGAGCTATTCAATTTTTATTCTCTATTTTTATTTATTGCTCTGTCGGCGGTCCTTAAACCAAAACTAAAAATTTATTTTTCGGCCAGTGAGTGACGGCAATGCCAAGCGACAAGGACAATCGGTAACGCGTTAAAAAACAAGCGAAAATATTACAACATTTTAATAGCGAAAATGAAGATTTATTGCCCACGACGACGACAGCGACGGATGACGACGCCAAAAATGCCTCGAAAAAAATGGAGCTC